GACAGGGTCGTCCCAATATGCGTTTTTGCAATTTGCATATAGGCAAAAACGCATAAAAAGGGAATTTCCCTACTGATGATGGGTTTTTATGGATCAGCTTCCACTAGCAAAACCTCATTTTCTTTTGCTTTTATTCATAAGGTCAGATTTGTTTTAATTTACTTTTATTTGTGTGCGTGGTGTCTTTTTCTCTTTACTGCCATCTCCAGTTCTTGCCTCGAGTTGATGACTTGCATCCTCACTGCCCCTCTGTACCCTGTCCCAAATCCTGTTAGCAAACAAAATATAGGTCCCTCTCTATCCCTATTATAACATCACTGTTCAAACAAGCAGTATTTACCTTTTCATACCCCAGGAATCTACGGTTCAAACCAGGAGCACACATGCTCATCTTCCTTCATCTTGCCCTCCTCCATCCAAATTCAAACTGCCGCCATCTACCTGCCGTTAGGAGAAAAAATTTTTTGCAGCTCGTGTATGAGACAAGACGAGCCGAGTTTTTGTAATTGCCTATTTATAGCGCGCGGTGGGCTTGAGTGCACTAGCAATGGATGCGCGTTGTCCGCGGGATGCTGTTCGCCCAGATCGAGCAGCGTTTGTTAGAGTGCTGTAGCGGTGGTGGCAAGGGCAAGTCGCATTTGCTGTGAGCAGCGAAGAATGTCTACAGATGCGCGCATTTTTGAAAATTTCCGTGCTGCAATTTGCAGGTATCATCGAGTGCTCAAGCAGCGAGTGTGCACACGTCCAGGCCATCATGTCACGTGAGGAGGATTCCCACTCCACGTAAGCAGTTATATTATTATCGATGCCTGCACGTCAGGAGGCGTAGTTTTCTCCGTCCTCTTTCTCCACTGTTAGCTGCCTGGAACGCTGGCCCTTCGTCTCTCGCGCTCTCAGTTGCTTTTGTGGGATTTGTCAGAGTGAAAAAGTGGAATCCACCTTATTCGAACATATTTTTGGAATCCTCCGTTGTTCTCTCACACACTCCGATATGCTCCCACCACTGCTTCCCCGCCGGAATTTGACAGCTCTCCCTGGACAAGCCTTTATCCGCGTGCTTTTTTCAGTTAAACAGGTTCTTAAAAATTGTTTTTCTTGCGAATTTCCCATAAAAAAGTGCTCAAAAAATATCCAGTTGTCAGTTGCCTTCGCAGTCCATTGAAGAAGCAAGGAAGCTTGTGCACTTCCGGATCCAGACGGTTCATGGCATGCCCTCACCCGGCACATATCGGCCTGATTGATTTACTTGAAGTTTTTTTCGGAAACTTCGCGAACTATGTGGGTTTTAAATGAGGGATCGATACTCTGATACTGTCAGCATTTTTCTTTCCACTTTTTTAGGAGCTGAAATCTTCACTACAGCCTTTTCACAATGATTTCTTTATGCCCTTAAACACCTGACATATAGTATTTGAACCATGTAGTGGATTGCAAAATTAGCGACCAATCTATTAAAGTTTTCCTGCACCTCCGAAAGAACTGGCAGATATTCTTTGGAATCATGACTGGTTTTTATACGTTTTTGTATATATGCAAATGCAATAATTGGCCAGCGCACTCACTGCCGTTGCGAAGGTGCGTTTTTTGCATGGTTCCCCGCAGGTTTTTGTCGCTAGCGGCACCGGTTTTTCCTGCAGATGCTTTTAGCTAAACGAATTGAAACTGGCGGCCTGGGCTGTCAAGGAACATCTCCTTAAAATTTCAGTTTTCTAGCTTTGCTGTTCCCCGAGTTAGCAACTTACTCGAAAAAAACTTTCCCGGACCCGTAAATAAGAACCGTTCATATCCGGGGTCTGGGTTTGAGCTCGCTGAGACGTACGCGGACGAGAAACCTCCTAAAATTCCAGTTTTCTAACTTTTCAGGTTTCTGAATTAACTTACTCGTAAGAAGTCTTTACGGAAAGGTACGTGGGTGCCACGCGGATAAGAGCAATAATTTTGGGGATGAAAGCCCGTACATGCATGTACATTAAGTCCTCAAAATTTTGACCTTGTAGCTTTTGTGGGTCTCGAGATGAAAAATCGGTACGTACACACACACACACACACACACACACACGCACACACACACACACACACATACACAGCCCCACGTCAGTATACGTTTTCTGCACTGCATAGATGCAAAAAACGCATATTGTGACGGCCCATTGAGTGTGTATGTGTGTGTCTGTGTGTGCGTGCGTGTATGTGTACATATATATATATATGTATTTATATGTGTGTATGTACGTATATGTGTGTGTGTGCGTCGGTCCAGGCGTTTCAACTCAATAACCAATTGAACTTTGGCTATGAAATTTTGCTAGTGTGTTTCCCGGGATAGCATGTATTTATATGTGTGTATGTACGTATATGTGTGTGTGTGCGTCGGTCCAGGCGTTTCAACTCAATAACCAATTGAACTTTGGCTATGAAATTTTGCTAGTGTGTTCCCCGGGAAGCGCTGCTATCCCGGGAACGCGGTACCAGTTGTTGCGCACTCTGATTATCGCGTGTAGGCGATGAAAGTTTTGGGAGGAAAATTGATAACTCAGGAACGACAAAAACTGGAAAGCTGAAATTTTAAAACGATATTCCCTGTCATCGTATCACTTAAAAGTTTCAAAATGAGCTCCCAAGTTTGTGTATTTCTCACGTACGAGCAAGTGAAAGTTTCGGTGGGAAAATTGTTAACTCGGGGACCAGTAAAGCTGAGATGCTGAAATTGTCGGAAGATATTTCAAGTCCAGTTCCTAGGTATGCATGGTTCTTATGTACAGGCATGCGAATGTTTTTGGCGAGAGGATTGCTGACTCAGGAACCGGGTGTGCTAGGAAGATGAAATTTTAGGAAGATGTTCTCTGCCCCCGTGCGATCGTAAGGTTTCATGTTCACTTCCTATGTACGCATGTTTCACAAATACGAACGCGTGAAATTTTTGGCAAGAATATTACTAACTTGGAAACCAGGGTAGCCAGGCTATTTTTAGTGAGTGGCTGTTCAGCGGAAATTGTTCCGACTTGATTTCTTCCTGCCGGATTTACTTGAGAGGCAGTGTGCTAATTAACTGAGTCTGTAGTTAGTTCCGGATGGTTAACTGATTGTATGCATTTTGGGTGTTGATCATTACAGGTCGCCGGTGGTTTCGGAGACAGCATCCATTTCCAGTGAGGTAGCCGATCAGATTGCGGGTTCTTCGCCGTCAAGCTCACCTTCTGTACTTTCCGCGCTTGATGACTTCGATGTGTGGGATGATCCGGTAGTTACAGAACATTCTTCAAATCATTGCAAAACGAGCTGTGCTACTTTTTGTGCTGCAATAGCACTGCTTTTCTAAGTTCGAAAGCATGTGCTTAAGGCTGCGTACTTCTGGAAAACGGCTTCTTTTGTTAATCCCTCCTTTTCAGCCAGCTTTGTTTTATTAAACAGGTCAATTCTAGCAGCTCACAATAATTTACTAAGAGGCAACCCCAATGAGTTCTTGACGGCCGATATAATTTCTTGCCTTTTCAGACACCGGATGCCCCCGTTCTTGCGGCCGAAGCGGATTCTGCGTCTTTAGAAGCAGTTGGTGGAAATTCACTGCTCCATAATCCACTGTCGACAAGGTACGAAGAAAATGCTGACCATAGCATGGACAGTGAAAGCCGATCGAGCGAAACACCGGAAAGCAACACTGAGCCGAACAGCAATTCGTTGGATCAAGTGAGTGATAGTTGCCATTACTGGCTACCTGATTTCTGTTATTTTTTGTCGGCTGTGTTATTCACAGTTACGGCTAGTTTCAGCAAGCCTTATTCATCCGGCCGATTGATACAGACAAATGAGCATTGAAAGAAGAAACTGAGGAGCAGACCCAGTTGGCTGGAAGTGGCTGTGATTTATTCTGGATTAATCCTCCAGGCAATTGTTGTGCTGTTGGGGGCATATGGGGATTTTGTCGAGGAACATGCTTGTGTTGTTGACACCGATTGATCAAAAGGGAAATAAAGCAAGAAACGGTTCTAATTGTTTAAAAACAACGCATTTTGCAAGCTTCAGTAATCGTCAATGTTATTTCAGGATATTGATCGCAATATATATACCCCGTCAGCAAGCAGTAATAGAAACGGGGGGGAACGAGAAGAGCGTTAGTTTTCATGCATTTTTTTTTTCTTACAGGGGTTATGAAAGGTAAAGTCAGTGTGTTTCAGTTGTCAATATTTTTTTTTTTATTTGGCCTAGAAAATGGCTTTTCTCGTTTGGTTGTTCGATTGCATCCACTGATTTAAGTCAGTAAAAAATATGGGACAGTGGTGTGGAACTGCCCCATGCATTCGTTCACAGCGATAAAGAATGCGCACTCTTTTTATGCGTTTTTTGCAGCTATGCAATGCAGAAAACGCATATTGGCGAGAGGTTGTCTGTGGGTGCGCTGGGCATCTACCAATTTTTCATCTCGAGACTTGCAAAAGCTACAGGGCTGAAACTTTGGGAACTTAATCTATATGCATTTACGTGCCCCCATCCCCGAAATGGGTGGTCTTGCCCGCGTGGTATCCATGTACGGGCCCGTGAAACTTTTTAGCGGGTGAGTTGCTAATTCGGGAAGCTGAAAAGCTAAAAGACTGAAATTTTAAGGAGATTTCCCACGTCCGCATCGGTCTTGATGAGTTCATGCTCAATCCCCGGGTGTACGTGCTTCTTGTGTAAGAGGCCGTGAATGTTTTTTGCGGGTAAGTTGTTAACTCGAGAAACTGAAAAGTTAGAAAACTGGGATTTTAAGGGGATGTTTCTGACAGTCCTGGCGACAGTCTTAATTTGTTTAGCTAGAAGCATCTGCAGGAAAACCGATGTCGTTGATATCTAAAACCTGCGGTGAATTATGCAAAAAACGCGTTTTCGCATCGGCAGTCGGTATACTGGCCATTTGTTTTTTTTTGTCTTGAATTGGGCAGTGCGCTGAACTTTTTCAGAACGCCGAGGTCTTATGAGGGGAGCATTATTTCGGCGCATGAATGACACTCCAGTGCGTGACCGTTTTACGCGGATGCGCTTCTTCAGTACCGATGTTTGTTTATTTTACTTTGCTAATATTTCGTTTTTTTTTTTTTTTTTTCGCTTCAAATTCCGTTCCATATAAATACCACTGCGCAGTTAATGAAAAGATATAGATAATACAAAAATTTTTTTCTTTTCTATTGATCTGTTTCAAGAGGCCTTTCAACTTAGCGAGATGCTGCCGCTCTGCAATCTCTGTCAGTTAAAAGTTGTAGGTCCGAATTATCGAGGACACTGTAATACAAAAGGGTCATACACAAAAATCAATTTTTAAGACGAGCCGGTTAGAGAAAGAATTGGCAAAGGCGTGATTTTTTTCTCGAAAACCTTTACTAGCACGTCTGCAATGTCTCCTGAAAAAAATGGGGCAGCTGAGGAATTTTTTATTGAAGGTGAATGGCTACAAAGCTTATTTCTGTAGACAGCAGTGTGCTCTTCGCAGAAGATTCACTTTGTAATTGTGTGACCAGCTGACGGCTGAGCGTAATTTGGCTTGAGATTTTCGAAGAACATTTGTTGCTTCCAACTCAACACGAAACTCTACGAACAGCCTGTTGAGCAGTTTAATAGTTGTGACTAGTGCACATGAATAACGAGTTGGATTTGAAGTTATGCAGGATGGATAGCCTTTGTCAGGGCAGTCCAATACTAGCATTGCATCAGTGGTGAAAGAGCATTTTTCAATTAAACTTTTGAAAGTTCCGTTGTATGAAAAGTAAGCATAGAATATCACGCTTGCAGAAAAGTTGTCTGTAATGTAGCAAGCCAGAGAGCGACGCGTGGTAGGTGTCAGCAGTTTGCGGCATATCTCCAGTGAAGTACTAAGGTTGGCATCAGCGATGTTGTCAAGGTAGTATATTACAGGAGGAAAAGCCGAACAGGACGGAAAGCAAAATTGCGAGACAGAATATATACAAAACGGATTATTTGACTACATTACGTGATGTTGAAAGAGCTTAAGGAAGGCTCTCAACGCGGAAACAGGATCCACTTGAAAGTATGAAACTGGGACAAGAAATATCACTTTTTTGAGAAGAAAAAGTTAGCGGTAACCCAACGAACGTTAGAATGACACATTTTAGTTGTCAGCAAGTTGCAGCACATTTCCAGTGAGGTACTGCAATTTCGATATGGTGCGAGTGAATTTTCAAGGCAGTGTATGTCAGAGAGGACAGCTGAGCTAGATATGTGACAGAGACGAGAGGCAACTGATGGACAAAACGATTCATTGGATGATAAGTACACAATGTTAACAAAACACTGGGAGAGCTGCTAAATTGGCGGGCGAACTTGGTCGAACGACTATAATGAATTACGTGGATAAAAGCCACGCAAAATAGAGAAGAATGCACAATCTTCCAGTTGAATCAGTGGAAAGAATAAACGTGGCAATGAAACAACAGCTGATCCACATATTTTTTAAAAATATGATAATTATCGAAAATGCTGCATTTTTTGTTTCAAATGAATGCAGTTGGTTTTCTCTTTCGCAGATAACTTTCTGTTTCACTATTTTTTCCTAAATTGACCTGGATTTTGCTGTTATTTCTGGCATTCCGTCGAGTACCACCTTTCGGGAGTTGTTGGCAGAGTTGTACATTTGTTTTCAAAAAAATGCTGCAATTTCGTTCTGAAAGTTATCGATTTTGTTGACGGACTGTAATTACAGGAAGAAAGCGGTTCTGGTCAGCGTAGCAACTGGTCAGCCAACGTCAGTGCCTCCAGTGGAGCGTCCTCGATGGATTCTGGTCCTCCTCCACTGCAGTTGCCCACATCAACGCGATTAAAAATTACTATCCTCAAATGGAATGTTCGTTTTGCACAGTTGTTTGTTTGTTGTTTCGCAGTCTTAATGTTAGAAGCATTCTCTGTTGGTGAGGTTTAGGAATGAAAAAACGAGCAGTTAACCTTTGTTGCTTTTTTTTTTGCGTCTCGTTTGCTTTATTTTCGAGGTTTTCAACATTATAGTCTCTTTCGTTTTTAATTTATGTTTTATACCTTTTAAATTAAATTTGATGTTGTGCACCATCTCTTCGTTTGGTTGAGCTTTGCTTCTGTGGTTTAGTTCTGTGTCTCTTGGTACATTTTTTCTTCTTTAGCTCAGATTTTGGCATTTTCCCTGTTCTGCATGGACGATCTCAGTGTCTGTGTAAAGCAGAGAGGTAATGAGGACAGTTGCTTCCTTTTCCGCTCTCCTGCTCGGTTCTCCGTCACTTTACGTTCCTCGTTTAACTCAGGCACTTCATTGGGGACATTTTGCTAAAAAATGGGCAAACTTCATAGGAACATTTTAGGCATTCGTTGATCTTTTATCCATATTTCTTTGCAAAGGGTAATTTGACTGCGTTTTATGTCCTTGCGACAGACTGGAGTAAGTTCACACACAAATGGCCTCTCTATCTTATTTGATATGTTTTTTATCCAAAAATAGCTTTTTACAGCACATTTATTTGTGTCAGATGCTGAGAAATCAGAAATTATGATATTTTGCAGGTAGCAGCTGCGTGGAAATGGGCGGTAAGTGACGAAAACTGCGGAATTTGCCGAATGCCTTTCGAGGCTTGTTGTAATGGATGCAAAACACCGGGTGATGAGTGCCCCTTGGTATCGCTTTAAAATCGAGAGCACAGGAGCATTAAATTTCACCGCATAAAACAAATCCCGCAAAGTCCTGACTCTGTAACCTCGTCATGGTACAGAAGAGGCAGCTGATCAGAAAGTGTCAAGACGCGGTAGAGTGTAAACTTTTCCTCGTTTATCGAGAAGACACTTTTCCTCGTTTATCGGGCTTTGTTTCCGATGTGCGCACTACTATCAGTCTGACAGAGAAATGCTAAGGAAAAAGCAAATGCACGCTGCTCGACGCAGAACAAAGAAACAGTATGAAAGACAGCGTAGGAAGTGGATACTCGTTCACGTTTTCTGCCTTATAACGAGAAATTGGAGAAATGAGAGTGAGGGGAGGCCAAAAATCGTGGTGATCAAAAGTTGCCACGGTGGAACGAAATGATCTTAATGTGCGCCAGTATTTAAAGATCCCTTTCGATGGGTGGACTCGTGAAACAACTCGAGGAAATCACGCGAACATTATGCCGCTTCTTGGCATGTGCGAAACACGGCGAATGGCGAAATTAATCTTTGCATGGTGATGGTGATAAAACGGTTTTACTTTGTGTTGTGGGAGGAAAGAGAAGTGTTGGTAAAGTGTGTCGATTAGTAGGAAGTGGGCTTAACATTTTTTCTCTCTGGTTCACTTATCTCGTTTCGGCTTATTCCTTCTCAGGCAAAATTTCAAAAAAGTCCTCAGAATTATGCCAGTTTACTTCCCCACCATGTGCAGTGACGACGACGAGGTTGAAGACGCCTTTACCGAGCTCGGATATATCTTATCGTCGCGCTTGCTTGCTCAGTGATGAAGGTGAAGAAAGGTCACGAGAACTGTAACCGTTGGTGGAGAGTAGCGGTGCTTCGAAAGAAATATAGGAGATAACTGTTATACCACTACACAATGCCGGCGCTGAAGAATGAAAGTAGACGCGGAGTAACAGACTGAGCTGACATGGAAAACATGTGTAGAGAATTCTATTTGGATTTTTTCGCATCTCGTGCGGTATTTTGTCAAGTGCAATTCGCCTCACAAGGTAGCATTTCCTTATCAGCAAGATGAGGCACGCAACTTTTCGATAAAAAGCGTAAAGAATACCGACAGTGGTGACACTAGCATCCAAATCCTCAAATGCCAAAGGCATGAAATTTGGAAAGCTCCCGCTATTCAGTTTTTGGACGAGGCAACGTTACAAGCAGATGAAGAGAGCCGGTACGGTTTTGGTGTTCAAAAAGGGCGAAAAGAAAATCAGAACTGCTGCCCAATCTGCTTTCCCCTCGTATTTACAAACTGTGCAAGTTTGAACCATAGCTAACAAGACTTCGATTAACAGCAGTGGGGAGGAAGCTGGGTTCTAAAGTAAAACGCGATAAATCGCATTTTCACTCTAAACTAACATTGCATCTCAGGGTATCAGCCACCTCTGTATCGCCTATTCGCTAATTGCGAAATTGTATTCGATAGCGCAGGGAATGTTGTGCCGCGGGCGATTTTAGATAAAGGAATTAGTGGGGCCCGCGCAGAAATACTTAAGGAAGCATCAGCTACATGACAGTCGCAACATTTCCCTAATGCGTTTGGCATATCGATGGAGACGAAGTGAAGCTAGGAAACCTCGTACCCTTAAACTTTCTGCGGAGCAGTTTGCCATAAGTCGATTTGGAGGGGGACTTTAATGTCATGGCAGGCAGCTGCGCAGTTTGCGCTTCGTGGAATTAACTTAATTTTTATTTAAGTAGTACTACTACATGAGTAAGGTGCTGCAAAAGACTAACGCAGAAGACAAGGAATTGAGCCTGAAAATCATCGCATGGAAAATGAAGTTGTTGAAAAGTTGCAACGAAATTACAAAGAGGCGGTGTCGGAAGAAGTTGGCGTTTGCGTCTGTGTTGATCAAGAATTTAATATGCACCACAATTTCCAGCCGGATACTGCGCGTTGCAGGACTGCTGGATTTCATAGTATCGTTGAAGTACTTGAAATTTGAACTAGATGGTCCGTGCCCACCTTTTCAAACAAGTCAGTGACGCACATACACCAGACTTGGTTACGTTCGGGATGAGTTACTGTCTGCTTTGAAATTACACTGTTTCAACGTTTATTTTTTAGGCATTTGGCGAATGCAAGCATGCATTCCACATGCACTGTATTGTTAAATGGACTGAAACGCAGAATACTGCTCGACCTCAGTGCCCATTGTGCAGGCAGGAATGGAAGTTTGCATCCAGATGAATCACTTATTTTGTGTTTTTACATCATTTGATAAATGCAGAAACGCATATTTTCATAAGTTGGTCGGTGTGTCTGTGTGAATTGTTATCATACATTTTCAACTCAGGAATCGGAGGTTTGAAAGCTGACATTTTACGAGACAGTAATTTACATCATTAATTTGCTTTCCCATGCAATGCTGTGTTGTCCCCTTCAAATTACTGCTGTCTTCAGTTCCTTTCCCGAAATTCTAACTAGTATCCTCGTTCTCGCCCTCCGCCCTCTCTTCATTTCTGCCCTCCAGAACAACATCTCATGCCTCTCCAGCCCCGTATAACTGCCCAATCAATCAGTATTTCACCGCCTGTCCTAGCCCGGTCCCGCGGGCCAACCCACCACTACGCTCCTCTCTTTTTCATTCATCAGTCCCATACCTACATCGCCTATCACTTTGCGCAAATTCACCAATGACATGCTCTGGTTTTCCTGATAAACTCATGCGCAGTCAAGCCAAATTTCGGAAGCTGACTATCCCAGCCCCTCGCGTGGTTTGAGTCCTTGCCGGCCAAGCTAGCACCACAGTGCCTCCTTTCCACCTGCCAGCCGCCAAACTACGTTATCTGGCAGTTGGGTAACGCTACTGAAGCGCTAGGAGAAACGACACCCATGACAGCTGTGGTGTCGCATTGGTGAGGGAACAGATGTGTTTTGCACCCAAATCTTATATCGGAGCCGAGCCGAGCTTTAGTTGCCCCCTTTAGCGCAGCCGAGCTTTAGTTGGCCCCTTTAGCCGAGCCGAGCTTTAGTTGTGTGCTGGAGTCTCATATTTCAGGCGCCTTCACAGTTCAACACAACCGTCCCAGCCGATGCCTCTTTGCATCATTGTTCAGGAAAAGAACCAAGAACATTTTAATATGTGTTCACATATGAAACTGCACAGTAACGATTGTTCATACTGTTAACGGTCTTATTTCTCCATGAGACTGCCCAAAAATGCACTATCACACCGGCAATTTTAGTGCGCACGGCTACTGGTTTTTTGTATGTGACAGTATAATTGTTACATGCTTTTTTTTTTTCTTTCATATCGCAGTTGGTTTTCAGTAAAATGGATCACCACCATTCTGTGCAGTAATTCGCTGACAGTGCTTTTTTTTGCCTCCCAAATTCAAATTTTGAAAAAAATTCCACTTTTTTTTTTAATTTTTGGAGGCAAGCATTGTTTTACCAAATATTTTTTGCCTCCGTTTCCGATGGCTTTTGCTTATTTGTGCTGACATTTTATTTTGCCTATTACCAGTGAGCACTGTTAGTGTTGAAAGATTTTCGGAACCTCAGACGATGTTCATATGCAGTCGTATGCAGTGTTCAATTGTTCAATTTTTTGCAATTGTTGCAATTGCAATTTGCAATTCAATGCAAATGTTCAGTTCATATGCAATCGGCATCTACTCTCTGCATCTACACTGCTGTTCTGCCCAAGTTAGCTGCACATTTTATAGGCACATTATCACGGCTGTCAGCTAGAGGTAGTTCTGTGCATTTGCGATTTATTTTGGTTTCCGGTTGCAACGGCAGAATGTACGATGTCGCGTTCTCTTTGTTATGGGGCAAATTTTGTTTGGAAAGTAAATATGTTAAATGATTACAAGAAATTCGTTTGCTGACTGCAAACTAAATTTGAGTTCTGCGTGGGTTTTGGGTGTTGCCGGAGTTTTAGATTTGTCTTTCTAATTGGGTTATGGTCTATCAAGAACTTTTATTAATCAGATCTGAGATTTGTGACTTTAGTCCAGTGATTCATACTAGGTCGTTGGCATTTTTACCACTTAGTGGTTTTTTCGTTTCATTCTTTCCTGCAGTTCGAGGAATTAATGCCCTAACTGATCTTATGAGTGATCTCACGCAGCTCATATGTTTTTCTTGGGCAAAGCTCAATCCTTCGCATCTAAAATTGGAGTAGGCTGGAGTATCCCCATTTGGCATCGAGTTGGGGCTGCTTACTAATAGAGGGGACACAGTAGCGTGAAAATCCAGTTCAAGCGAATAAAGAGTAAGGGGGGAGAGTCGCCATTCTGAAGAGTGGTCAGCAAGGGGTGAGTGTTCCCTTTATCGGCTTTGATGTAACAGATCCAGTATGTCTGAGATGAACTGCATTACGGTATACGTGAACTGCAGCTAGAATTGCTTGCGGACGTGGCAGCTGCGAGTCAGTGCATGCCCCACCGTCTACAAATCAGCGTTCTTTTTCCATGTTGTTTTTGCATAATATGGAAATTAATAGCTTTTTATAAATGCCGACCTGGCTGGCTGCCGGCAAGCAGTTGCGGCCGTTGCTCGTTATGGAGCGCGCTCATTATGGTGAGGAGGAACGTCTTGGCAGTGTTGGAAGATGGGCAGAGCTGAAGCGACTTCGGGTTCGTTCGGCTGTTTGGCGTGTTCACTGTTGCGTAACTGCCCCTTAAACCACTGGTAACAGTTCTGCAATTGGTGGCGAAGTTCTGCAGCGTGAGTAAATGTACCAGGCGGCAATCGCTTCTGTACGACTGTGTAGAACTGGTCACGCAATGAGTGCGCATGCCGGGTACCACTTCCTGCGTAGTTTTTCGTTGGATGAGTGGTCTCGAAACTGTTTCACCGCAGGTAATTTGCGCCACTGGGCACTGTGTTGAAGCTTCTCATGTCAAAGGCCGAAGGATCGAATCCGCTTTTGTACCACTCACTCACTGTTTGGTGCAAGTCTGATACTGGGGCACGACAAGGCGCGGCTATCGCCATGCTGCTTGTTTGTAGCTCTCAAAAGAGGAGCGATCGGCAGTATTTCCAGTGTACGGCGCGTGGCATGTGTGGTTACAGTTTCAAAAGGGAGTGAATTATGGAGGGTGTTTTGACCGTTTAGGAAAATTGCATTTTTCGAGCTCATCATCGGTTTTCGTTCGATAGTAATTTGGTACTGGCATTTGCGAGTAAATCGAACCCACCACCAGCTTGCTTGTAAGCAGCTCTCAGGAAGTCATTGACAGCCTAGCCAACGGGTAGTTACTGTTGGCATTCGCTACCACTTGGGCTACTTCCAAGTGTTCCCGCGTCTCACTGAGAGCGAAATGAGGGAGACGGATGGATGAGGGAGAGAAGGGAGGGGGAGGGAGGAGAGAGGGGGGAGTTGACTTTTGACTTTGATAGTCGGTTGTAGAGGCATTGTCTCCTTCAATAGGCTATTCTTGAGACGATAGAATTAAATTCCCGCATCTGGGATCCTTATTGCTACAAAGTTTATCACACGCAGGTGCGAAACCCATCTTGTGAAACCAAACGGAACTTCCATCAGTTTATCACTTCTCAGAGCGTTGGACGCTAGGACCAGCTCTGCTTTCCTTAACCGCTGAAGTAGTGGTTTTTCCAGGGGAAAATTTGAACTGAGGATTAGAGCAGTAGGAGGAGCGCATCAGAAACCGTAAATTTAGCAATGTTTTTTTTTATCAGCATCTTCATCATTTCCAATTTTTTTTTCTTTACGAAATTTATGTTCGTCATGTGAGAAGTAGCATAAAATTTCTATTTCCACGCAGCTTATGAATCTACTTATGGTAATGAGCTGACATGCGCCAGTCCTATCCTGCAAAAGGCTTCTGGCTTTGAGCCAGCACTGTGAGGGAAGGGGAAGCCTACATAAAGCGACAGTCGTGACAAACGCACTTGCTATTACGTACGAAAATTATCCATCTGAAATTCTAAATGTTTTCGAGTTCCAGGAAGCGGCAAAGAATACAGTCACTGTTCGAATACCGAACCTAACTGAACAGCCGTTGCAACACGGTGTATAAGGAAGCTCTTGTTTTTTCCGATCCAGAGGAGCTTTTCATTTAATAAATGAAGCAGTGACTTACTTGAGGTCCAAAGGAGCAAACGTATTTCCTCCTCTGACGTTTTTGCAGCATAAGACGTTCAAACTACTTCCTCTGACGTTTTTGCCACGCGAGGCGTTGAAACCATCAGAAATAAATAGCACTGCGCAGAATGACCAATGCGATTGCGCGGTTCATGCAGTTCTTTCCATTGCGAAAGTGGCCGAAATGTTGTTTGGTTTCTAAATACAAAAATTTTCCATCAAAAATTTTATTGTCTATACGTAAGATGTGAGTGTACGCAGGAGCAAAATTAAAATTTTCAGGGTTTTTACATTAGTACGAAGCATTTTTTAAAATTTCTGCCGTTCGGTCCCCGAATTGAAATACCAGGAACGTTTTTGCAATTTCAACTTCTGTGTCTGCTATGGAATATAGGCTTATGTGAGAACTAAGTTTAGATTTTCAGAATCGTATAGGGTTGGCAGAAAAAATTATGCTAAAATTTCTGCCTTCTGTCTTTCTGGTCCCCCAGCTACACTTCTTCCTGTTACAGATTTCAGGTGACCGTACTTGAAACTTGGGAATTTTTCCCAAAACTTTCACTTTTCCATAAGTAAGGCGTTGACGTAATGATGAATTTAAATTTTTGCGACCGCGCGTCGGTAAAAAGTGCCATCTAAAATCTCAGCTTGTTATCTTCTCTGATTTTCAATTTAGAAGTTTTCAGCCAAGAATTTGCCTTGTGCATGCGGACTAAACGTAATCGAAAGCCTGGTTCAGATTTTTGGGTTTCACCGGAACAAAAAAATATTCTAAAGCTTTAACTTTCTTTTCTGGTTTCCGACGTAGAATTTCTTGTCAAAACTTTTGTGTGCCTGCATGTAAAAATTAGGCATGCATGAAAGTTGAATTTCATCTGAGAAGGTTTGTACTTAGGTAGAAAATATCTTAAAACTCCAACTGCCCAGCTTTTCTAACAGTTGAGTTGAGAACCCCGGGCAAAAATTCGAACGCAAACACAAGCGAAGTTTCGACAATATAAAGCGCACAGAAAAGGAATCAGAAAGCACTGCAGGAAGACAGTGATTGCTAATGGACATTAAAATTGAGTAACAACCAAAAACTTTAGATAGAGGACGTTGTTGTCGTGATTTCAGCAATGAAGTAAAAGCTCCTTGATGGTCAATGTAGTCTTCTAGCACTGAAAATTCTAAGGTAACTGGGATTCCTTGTCACATCTGAAAATCGAAACTCATTTCACTGATTGCTCTCAGGTGGGAAGTGCGCTGTGGATCTGGAGAAAGGTCGATCCGAGCCAAGGCACCAGTTTTTCGCTGGTTTGTCAGGCGCAGTATGCCTTTGCTCCTTTTTCATTCATAAGTTGCTGTACGCTTTTTTCGCACTGATAACTACGTTCCAGGGGACCGTTTTTCATCCTAGTCCTCTCTTTCTGTTGCTAAACTGACGGCGCCGTAGTGAACTCCAGACACACGCGCAAAGTACTTTTTTGATACGGATGGATTGGCAAGTTTTCTTCGCTCTTTTTAGATTGCTTTGTATAGTCTGTTTCTCTCCTACCCATAATCCGGTTTTGATCGCTGTAGGCTCCTATACGTTTGATAGGGTTTTACTGGCTCTGTCGCGGTGTCTGGTCATTTCCGATTTCTTACAAAGTTGCGACTTCAAAGTTACACTTTATCCTGCTTGTGCAGGATTGCATTTAGATGCCACGGGAGTCTCAACCAAGATTCGGTCAAATGGAACATTACGAGCTGGCGCAGCACAGCAAAGGCGACAACGCGAACCTTTTCTCGCTGTTGCTGATCTTCCATTTGGTGAGGAAGGACTGGACGAAAGTTCGTTCGTTTTTCGTATCAGCCTTTTGCAGTTGCTTCAGCAACTTTAAAATTCGTGAATGCTCTTACAGTTCTCCCACACAGAAAAGCAGATTCGGTGGTTCCTGCGTAAGATCATGCAGACCGCAGAGGAGCAACGAGAAACTGTACGCTACACTGGAGGCTTCAGCTTGCAGTCATCCCACGCAAATCCAGTTCTTTTCCATCACTGGCATAATTTTGTTCTTTTTCTCATGGATTTCGCTTAGTCCATTATTTTCAGTCATCGCGGAACATTATCCGTAACGAGGAAGCAACGTCGCGTAAAATCACGCGCTCACTGTTGACCATCTGCCGATATTTGGAGGATGGCGATATTAGCACAGCTCTTCACTTAATTAGACGTACCAATTTCGCAAGTCCATTAAAGTACGTTTCTTTACAAAGCATGTAGCAGCACGTGACAAGTAGAGGCGCTTAGTCTGTTTTAAATTCCAGTAGTAGATGAGATTGTGAACTTCTGCGAGCTGGGCTAACATATTCGGTTCCGAGTAAATGTGAGTGTCGGGCAGAGCTTGACGCAACCTATATTGACTTGCTGCTGGCTCGAGCCATTCGATTAATTGGGAATTCATGAATTTGCAACGAACTGCGGGAAGATACGTATTCTGCACAGAACGCCAAGCAAGAATCAGTGAGCGGGCTGGAAATCGAAAAATGAAATTCCGAACTTTGTCTTTGCCTACAATACTTCATTGCGAGCGTCTTGTAATTAGCGCGGAAATGCAGCAGTTCAAGTAATTGCAGAGCAGGCACCAATAGTTTTATGGTTTATCGCGCAAGCTTCAGGATAATAGATTCGTGGAATCGCATCCTGCAATTCAATAGGTTCTCACAAAACCAATCTTCTAACGTTTGATTTTTACAGGGAACTGATGATCGAGGTGCAAAAGCGCCTTATGCTAACGGTGCTGCGAATGGTACAGCGCAGCTACGTCTTTATTAGAAGTGTGAAACTCGCAGAATTCCTTGATATTGATGCAGGCGATGACCTTCAGAAAGTCGATTAATCTTTGTTCTTGGGATCCCTGTATAGTTCAAACTCCGCTCGAATAGAATCTTTAATTTTTTTTCTTCTTTCACGAAAGTCTTCTAAAATTAGCAGCTTTAATTTGGCAAAATGTTTTGTGTGAGGTAATCCTTTACTCCTTTACGCGCCATGTTAGCAAAGTTTTCTTAATTTTTTTTGAAATGGTTGCATATCCTACCTTCATTCTTTACCCTCCTTCTTCCTGGTTCTTGCTAGGATGTAGATCGGTTAGCACCGGTTAGTTCAGATTACCAAAACCGAAAACTAAATCATCTGCTTTTTCTGCCTTTCTTACAGTATTTGTGTTAACTGCTGGACATATTGGCCATGAATCTAATAAGCAAATTTATTTATGCCTTTGCTTTCGAATTCAGTGTCAGTTGTACAGGCTTTTTGTTAAACAAAATTGTTATGTTGGTTTTCAATATTTGCAGATTCTGAAGTCAGCTGGATGGCGTGAGGAGAATGGTTATATCAAGCCAGAACTGACGCATGAGTTCATGCATCTCATGCAGGGATTAAACAATTTACCCACTGCGCCGACACCGAAAGAAATTACACGCGAAATGATCAAAAAATCTCATAAAATTATTCAGTTAATAGTGTCCGTCGCATTTATGGATCCAAAAATTTAGCTGTAGAAGGCTCTTCGAAGTCTTTTTTTAATAATAATTATTTTTATAGTCTTTCCTTGTTTTAAATGGCACAAAAAAAGGCATAGATCGATTCTGTTTGTTTCTTTCTCCACTTCTAAACATCCTTCGGAGCCAACTTTTCTGAAAAACTGCGCAATCGACTTCCAGACGGCTAGTTATGCGTTTTTGCACATATGTAAATGCAGAAACGCATATTGTGACGATCGCGGTGTGTGTGTATGCGCGTCTACCCGGGTATTTCAACTTGGCAATCAAGCAAGCTCCGACGCCAAAATTTTGTTGATGGGTTCCCCGGCCAAGTGTTATCCCAGAACCACTGCACCAACTCTCATGCACATGTGGGCTCCGCGTATGGCCCCGTGAAAATTCTCGGCGGGAGAATTCACTAACTTGGAAACCAAAAAGGCTGAGAGGCTGAAATTTTGAGGGGATGTTCCCAACGCACGTACAACTTAAAAATTTCAAACTGAGGCCTTAAATATGCGTCGCTTTTACGTACAGCCCCTTGAAAGCTTTTGGCGGGAAAATCGCTAGCTTGAAAACCAGGGAAGCCGGGAGACTGAAATTTTGAGAGGATGTTCCCTGACCAGGTACCACGCAGCTGCACAATTAACTTCCTGAGTCTCGAGCATCAGTTGGTCCCAAATTCTACTTGTTGGGGCTCCAAGCGATCTTACAACAGCACGAAATACTGCAAAAACGCACGATCGCACTGCCCCGCTTGGTGCGCGTCGCCAATGATTTTATTACAAATCTGTGTGTATTTGCATTTCCAAAATCTCTTCCCCCATCCTTTCCGGCACGTTTCTTGGCCATCTACCATGGCGGTTAAATTCTGAAAACGAATGATGGATGTGCGATCACGGGGCTGAAAAACTGGCTATGCATAATCACTTGCGTACTTGAATGTCTGGACTGACGCACCAGTCAGCAAACGACTTTTTGACCAGTTCCTTGTTTGTGAGATTTTGTTCGGACTGCGAAATATACTTTGCGCTAAAAATACAAGAAATCGATATAAAGCAGTAGCAGTCATTCGACAAATGAAAACAGCCACGGATGACGCAGCTGGTTGTGTTAGCCAACCTAATCCTCGTGAATGGCTAGATGGCGTATGTCGCACTGAATGTGCTTTTACGCTTAGAGGGTTTGCGCCGCGTCATGTATTTCCAACTTAAGACTGAGGGCATTTTGTTCTCAAAGTACTTTAAAAAGATATCTGAAAGGGTAGCGTGCCATAATGGTAACATTGCGAGGTGGTCACAAACAAAAGTGAAGTAATTACGGTTTTGTTTATGACCACCTAGCAGTGTTACCACTATAGC